GGTTTATGTTTGGGGGTAGGATGCTGCTGAAGAACCAATGATGACAATTTTAAAAGAAAACAAGAATGAATAACAGATGAAACATCATCATGGAGTAGAAGAACAATGGTGAGTCAAATGGATGGTTAGGCTTTCACCAGAAACAACGAGCTTTATGGTAAACTTTTCAGCCGCTTGAATATTTTGAAAAGTTTTGTAGCCTTCAATGACATAATGTTTGAAAACTTAGGAGATAGACAAATTAATACAGAAATATAACAGGCAAAAGCTGATTTAGGAAGAATTAGAAAACGGAAATTTTCTCAATAATTATTAAAGGATTTAGCACAATTTTTTAAGACTTTTCTATTTTAAAAAAAGAAATCAAAGACTCATGAGAAATTGGATAGTTTATATACAAATTCTACTAGTTTTAAGGAACTTCCAAATTATGCAGATGCTTTCAAAAAATGGAAAATGAGAGCATACTTTGCAACTCATCTTATGAGACAGAATAATTTTGATAAAGATTAGAGATGGTATCAGGAAGAAAAATATTGAGTCTATTGTGTTCATGAATATAGATACAAACTTCTAAACAAAATATTAGCAAACTAAATCCAATTCTCTATAGAAATGTTAATAAACAAGGTCCAGTTGGGGTACATGAGAAGATTGTGAAAACGGTTTAATAATGCAGAAATGTATAAATGTGTATTCTTACATTACCGATTAAATGAGATCAACCATATCAACGTCTCAAAAGATGCAGAAAAAAATATTTAACATTTATTTATGATAAAAATTCTTACTATAACAAGAATAGAAGTAAACTTTATTAACCTTATGAAAGGTGTCACTCAAAAAAGAGATAGAAATTCCTACAACAAACACCATCCTAAATGGGGAAATTCTGGAAGTATTCTACTTAAATTCAGGAACAAAATGGACATTCTCTGTGAATACTCCAGTTCAACAGTGTATTGGAGCTCTGGCCAGCACAATAAGACAGGGAAAGAAATAACAATTATAAGAATTGGAGATCACTATTAGTATCATTTTTGTTAGCATATGATACGATCGTTTACATAGAGGTCAAACGACTCTACAAACAAAATATAGACAATAGAAAAAGTAGGGGCGGGTCCCATGGCTTAGTGGTTAAGTTCATGCGCTACACTTCAGAAGCCCAGACTTTCCCTGGTTTGGATCCCGGGCGTGGACTTGGCACTGCTCATCAGGCCATGCTGAGGCAGTGCCCCACATAGCACAACTAGAAGGACCTACAACTAGAATATACAACTATCTACTAGGGGTTTTGCGGAGAAGAAGAAAACAAAGAAGATTGGCAACAGATGTTAGCTCAGGGGCCAATCTTTAAAAAAAAAGAAAAAATAGGAGTTTTGTGGCTGTTTACAAGATCAGTATATAAAAGTTAAATATATTTATATACGCCAACAACAAAAACATAAACAATTTTTTAAATATTTAAAATACCAACACGAATTATAAAACAACCAAGAATAAATATAATAAAATATATGCAAGACCTGTAAGTAGAAAATTGAAAACTTTATTGAAGGACATTAATCAATATCTAAGTAAATTAAACCATCCTGTATTCATGGATGAAGAAACTTAGTTAACATTACACCGATGTTGTTTCTTCCAAAATTGATCTATAAGCTTAATGTAACTCTAGTCAAAATCATAATATGTTTTTCTTTTTTTTAATTTTTGTGGATTATGACAAATTAGCTTTAAAATGTATATAGAAAAGCAAAGAAGGAGTAACCGCCTAGATTATTCATGCTTTATGAAATACAGACTGACTATTAAGCTATAGTAATTATTAGAGTGTGGTACTGGTGCAGAGATGGACAAATTCATGAACGAAATAGAATAGACGGTCCAAAAAGAAATGTAATCATATAAGGAAATTTGACATATGATGGAGTGTGCATGGTAGAAAGTTGAATTATCCAATACATGAAAATATGGATTAAAAAAGGAAGAGAAAAATTGGTGCACAACAACCAAAAACCGAGAAGAAAGGGAGAAAGGGAGGAAAGGAGAAAGAGAGAAAAAAGGAGAAAAAGAGGGCAAGGGAGGGAGTGAGGGAGAGAAGAGAAGGGAATAAAGAGATCCCTACCTCACACCACCACAATAGAATATTCTGAATATTTTACGTATTATATTGATATATATTATACAACATATTTTATGTATATTATATATACAATTCTATGTGATGGTGTGAGGTAGGGTTTCTAGTCTATTATCATTGTATAGATTAATATATATAATATACATTAAATATGTTTATATATAAACATATCATTATATATAATGATAGTAGACTATAATCTGTACCTCACATGACCACATAGAATTTCTGTCAAAAGTAAAACCAAAATTTTCAAAAAGAGTGTATGTGAATTCTCTTCTGACCTCTGAGTAAGCAAACAGACTGAAGTGCTGGCCACATATGAAAAGACTGATAAATCTGAACACATGAAAACTAAAGCTTGTTCATTAAAATACACGTTAATTAAAGTAAAAGAAAAATCTTTCAACTTGTAGAAGATATTTACCAAAAAACAGAAACAAAAGGATTAAAATTAAGAACACAGAAAGAATTTTCACAAATCCACAGGAAAAGAAAAGGAGTAGAGAAAAGAGACAAAAAGTATGAACTGGCATTTCATGAAAGAGGAAACACGTGAAATTAAGTTTGACATTACAAGTGTTAGAGAGGATGGGCTTAGCCGAAGCTTATCTGCGTTGTTATTGGATGTATGCACTCGTACAACTTCTTTGGGAAACAAAAGTTCCATAAAAATATACTCCAAAAGTAGCCACTGCCCACAAGCATCAGGAAGCAGGTCCAAGAATGATGTTTTTATAAGAACATAAAACTGACCAATCCAAATGTTCGTTAACAGGAATTTAAAAAGCCATGTTCACATAAATGGTATTCAGCAGTAGAAATAGAATAACTTCAACTACATATGGAGAGAACTTCAGCTCCCATGTGAATGACTCTTAGTAACAATGCTAAGTGGAAATAGTAAAAAGCAAAAAATATGTTATTTATGGCATGTACATGAAAACCCAAAATTCAGAATAAGGCTCACCTTTGTGCATGAGGAAGAGGGATGCTACAGGGAAGAACACAGAGGTATAGTATATGTAAGTTATTGGAAATATTCTACCCTTGGAGTGGGCAATTGGTACATAGATTATATATAATACAAGTAAACCAACTGAAAATAGACTGGAAGAAAATATTGCAACATATCTAACAAAAGGTAAATATTCTCAATATAATACCTAAGGAAATACATGAAAGTTCCATGTTCTAAATTTTCATGGCTCTTATTATCAGATGGTGGGGTTTTAGTGAATTTTTATGCATTTCTATTATACTTATGCATACTGTGTATTACTTTAATAATGTTATTTTCTGACGATGAGAATTTAAATGAAAAATGTCACTCATAATATGAAAGAGTTTATAAGATAATAGTAAAAGACAACTCATCCGAAAAGAGGGGTAAGGCTTTGAAGATACAGTTCACAGAAGAGGTCATACATCTGTAAACCGACAACAATATACCCAATCTGCTAGGAAACGGAGATGTATGATTTCAAAATAATAGCATGATGCTGTTTTTCACTATTATTGAAGAAATATCATAAAAAGTTTATATGTAGTGTTTTGGAGTTGCAGGGAAATGGACACTTAGATCTTCTACAGTGGCAGCCATTCAGAGGATAATACGATGGTGTAGTGGAACATTTTCCTTCTAGAAGATTAGCGTTCAAAACGTGCACATGTTCACTTAAATGTGCTTCAAATAATGTTAACTACAGCAATTATTTTTTTGCAATGATGAAATACTAGAAATAGTCTAAAAGTACATGAAGAAAAATGATTTATTTAATCATGGAATGTACACCTTATGTAATACATTCATTCACTTACTGTAAGGCATGATGCAACACCAAATGTGCTGGCACAGAAAGATCTCTTAGACATTTTTAAATTTTAAAAAATGCACACAAATAAGTTAACAGGATATAGCATAATCCCATTCATGTTAAAATATGTTAATAAAATTTATATGTGTATATTCATATATGTAAATATTTAGAAAAAATTTCTTGGATGATTACATATTATATTATTACCATGGTTATCTCTGGGGAAAGGAAGGTGAAGAGACACATTCCAAATATTTCTGTCCTATTTCAACTATTTTATTGCAAGAAAATAGGCATTTATTATTGTATAACTGGCTGCATTACCTGCCTTTGTAACTTTCCCTTTGGTAGGATGCATTAATAAGCACACCGCATGCAGCAGCAACAGAAGAGTGGGCATTTACTGTAGTAGACCCAGCAATTAGGCTTGAGTGTTCCTGGGTAGCAAACACTTCCGGCCAGGTCCAAAGATGTGGAGGAGCCTGGCTCCTGCTTGCAGATTTAAAGTCAGAAGGAAACACTGAAACAGTTGGCTAGAACCCCAGATGCAGCCTGGTCAATTTCTCCCAGTAATGGGGAAGGCAGAAAACTCTCAAAGACATATTTACCGACATAATAGTTACATTTATATAATTATTTGAAAAAGAATTTTTGATTAATAAAAATTGTTAAACATAATAACATGTGTGTCACTAGATTATGTGAACTGCAGACCACATCTGGGAGACTATCTTAATGAAAATTATTATAATTTATTAATTTTGTTTTTTTCTAAAGTTAGAGTCAATAAACGAAAAATAAAATATATTTATTATAGAATCTAGACTATATAATTAAAATATGTTGACATATTAATACTTTTAGAATTTTATTCTAGATATGAATTTACTATATTTGAATGAAATCATTGAGATTACTTTACAGTTTTCATAAAATGAAAATGTCTTTCGTTAGATGAAATGCTAACAACACAAAGCTTAAAAAGTCCGAATTTTAAAATATCAATCATGTGCCATAACATGTTTATTTTTCAGGTTAAATTTTTTCCGTGACGTTCCTGACTTCCGAGTGTTAGCCTGCGGTGGAGACGGAACTGTGGGGTGGATTTTGGACTGCATAGGTAATGAAGACACATATTTAACGTTTCTGGGGTGAGAGTGGTAACCTTAAATTCTGTACATTTTGTTCATTTATTTTATGAATGCATTGATGTCTTTGGATGCCGTAGTGATATAATGAGATGTGGTATGTTGCGCACTGTTTACTAGTTTAGTTTATTCTTCTATATTTCAAAATTTTAAGTGACAAAATAATTTACAAGTATCTAGAAATCCTTTTCTCATTTATTTCTCATGGAATTTACTAACTCCTCAGGGTTATTTTTTTAAGTGGGCTCTACAAAATCGAGTTATGTATTTGCACTGGAGAGGGAGCCAAAGAGGATCTTAGCATTTGTGATAAAGTCTGTGTCAAATAGATGTACTTATTTTGTTCATGTGTGGAGCCTCGAAACTTTACCCTCTATGTACACTCTATCATCATCAATTGTTATCATCATCATAGCTAATTTTTATTTGTCACGTACTATCTAATAGGCTTTGTGCTAAGATTTTTACCCCATTCATCTTAATTCTCAATTCCGTATATCGATAATCCCATTTTAGAGATAGGGAATTTAAGGCGCAGAGAAGTTAAATAATTAGAACCAAATTTTACAGCCATGCACTGACAGCGCTGGGATTAGAGCTCACACGTTAACCTTTTTCTATATTTCCTCTCTATTTACATTTAGAAAGCTTGATTTTTATAAGCAAACAAAACAGGTACCTGATTTAGGAGAAAAGGTTGAATGTATCCCAAGAAAAGCTTGATAAATTCAGAAAAATTATCTGGTTTTTCAGAGACAGTCAGTTGTCAGAACCAATTACCAGTCAGTAAAATAAATCTTGAATTGGCCTTTATGAGGAGATAAATCCAAAACAATCACTTCTTTAGTTCTCATTTCAGTGAGTGCATTGACCAATTCTTTGTTAAAACCAGGCCCTTTCACAAAAAGGAAAGAATTGATTGCAAATAAGTTTTGCTATTTATATAAATTGAAGCAAACTTTTATTTAGTCAATGTAGGATAGAATATTCTATTTTTTCATACATGCAAAAGTATTCAAATTAAAAATGAATACATATGGTCAGCACACTTTTGATAAGCGTCTAACGACTTTAATCTACTAATATTTTTTTCTGCAAAAGAAACTGAAAATTGTGTTCTTTGATTTTCCAATAAAACGTGTAAATAGTATTAATATGCTGTATTTAAGGATAAAACCAGAATTTGAGAACTGCAAAAATTAAAGAATTGCTTCAACAATGTCTGAGGGCTTAGGAGAATTTTAGAGTGAAAAATTAAATAGTAGTATGTTATTGGTTTGTTTTAGCCCCCACAATCTAAGCCTTGGCTATGCCACTGTGTTACATCCCCAACTAATCTGTTCCCTCCCTGTTCTTACACACAGACACATACTGACTTTGAGGGGCTGTGAAGGGAGAAAATTTAAAGAAAAGTAATACGTTTGTGAGAGTCTTTAAAGGCATGTGATGATTCAGACAAAAGTATATAGGATTTCACTGGCCGAGATCTTTGCTGCTCTGAACCCAAAGCACTATGTTATGTAAAGCTGAATTCAAAGAAAACCTGCTGATCCAGAGGTGCCCAGCTCTTTTATTGTTTACTCTGTCACAAAGCAGAGTAAACCATGGTTGGGAACCACACAGCGACATTGTTAGCTCTTTACTCGCTTTTAGAATTTGACTGTTTTCAAAATATTTTACTCCTTAAAGTAAAATGTACCTAGAGTTGATGCTGCAGAAAGACTTTATAGGAACTTACCTCTCCACTCTGGTGACATCCCTATGTGTGTACTCCTCTGCTCATACACCTGCATCCTTGGGAATGTCAAAGGACTTAAATCAAACTCGCCACAATTTTTAACTAAGATATTTAAAAGGCCTTCCTCATTCATGAGTCTGGAATATTCCTATCACTTTGTGAATTATGGTATTTATTTGTCTTTATAAATTGCTACGAATGTATACAAATTAATCATAATTTATAATTGTATATATCTATGAAATAGAACTTTTTCTGTTTATAAGTACCTATCGGGATGCCTTCATTTCATGCCAAGCTGTCTTGTTTACTGTTGTTCTATCTGTATCAAAATTTTATTTTAATTTCTTGATTCCACAGAAAAGGCGAATGTTGTGAAGCATCCTCCAGTTGCCATTCTGCCTCTTGGAACGGGCAACGATCTAGCAAGATGCCTGCGATGGGGAGGAGGTAAACCAGTGGCAACACCACCAAAAACTTAACAGACAGAGATGCATGCAGAATGCACCCCTCCCCCAAAATAAACCAGCAGTTCTTTACAGCATGGCCACTGCCATGTGATTTCAGCAGACACAGTAAATGATTTCGAACAATAGTCTGGGTTAGATAAACAAATTGTGGACCAAGAGTTAGACTGAGCGTTGGGCTTTTTAACCTGATGCTAATTATAGACTTGATAAAGCAGGCAAGCTTTCGAACCTCTCTGGTTATTTGGTTTCTAATTTAAGAAATGAGATAAGCGTAGATTAACTCTAAAGCAATGTTCTGATTTTTAATCTCTGAGTTGTATGGTAAAATCACCAGCAAAGGAAAAAGCTGAAAGGCTAATGAATGACTTGTCCAGGAATGAACACATTAAATAACACTTATTTTTTGAGACCACTTTACACCAGGCAGTGTGTTCTGCACTTGAGTTAAGAATAGAAAACAAGGTCTGCCTCCAAAAGGGCCTTAAATTCTAGTGGCACATAAAGTCAGATGTAAACTGTGAGACTTCCTACTAAGAAGTAGACAGAAAACCAATATAATGAAAGGCCTCACCCAGCAAATGACAAGATGACACAGAGGAAAAACCTAATAGCTGGATAATGACAGAACCGTATAAAACTGGGGGTGGACTTTATAGGCAGAGGGAACATCAAGTTCAAAGGCCCAGAGGTAGGAAGGCCCTTGACGTATTCAAGGAAATCAAAATGGAGTAGTGTGGATGGAACATGGTGAGTGAGGGGAGAGTATTTCAGGATGAGTTCTTAAAATATTTTGAAGGGTCATTAATAGGCTATAGTTACCTGAGGATATCAAAAGGGAAAAAAACAACTAGATTTTGCTAAAGAAGCAAGAACTGAATCCTAAATATTTTTAGCATCTAACTCACTAAGAGAAGTTTGAAAAGCGTCTACTAAGACAGATCAGAAGCCCTTGGGGAGCTTGTTAAAAATCTAGTGGCCTGACCTCATCCTAAATATGCTGAATGGAAATCTCTGGGGGTGGGACCTGGACATATGATTTTTTTTGAAAAAACAAACTCCCTAACTAACTATGATTTACAACAAAATTTGAGAACAATTTTTCCATGAGTATCTGGCCAACTGGTGAACTCTAAGTTGTATGTATGCATACAACCAAATTGGAGATTTAAGTTAAAAACTTGGTATATGATCTATTCATGATCTTCATTAAGGATATAATTCAGTAAAAGAATATTATTAAATATTGACTTAAATCTCATAGAATCTAAGGATAGAAGCATTACTTATGAGATGCTCATATTTGCCAGTGCCTATATATGTGTATTGATTAAAAGGAAGGAATCATGCATGTGGCCTCTTGTTGTAGTCCTCTGGAAAATATTTTTGATATTTGAAAATTAATGATATTATTTTTGGTCCCAAACTAGCAAATGGCTTAAATTTCAAAAAATATATAAAAGTTCCATTTTGGGCATACTCTAATGATTTTCTTATAAAACTACTTTAAAGATACTATTATCAATGGCCAAAGATACATGGATTGTAGTATATGTCAAAGTATCTATTAATGATGAACTCTCTGTGAGTGCCTGGCATGTGTTGGCACTGTTCTAGGTGCTAGATACAGAATGAGAGAATAAATAAATGACTCCTACTCCTTTTGAAGATTACATTTTCATTGAGTATACAGACAATAAATCAATGAACAGTGAAATATATAGTTACAAAATAAGATCAAGGCCATGAAAGAATGAAACAGAGCGTATTTTTAGAGAACAACAGAGGGGAACTATTTAGCTAGATGGTCAAGAAGGCTTCCCTGAAGAAGTAACACTCAAGCAGGATTTAAAAGACGAACAGGGAGAAATAGCTTCCTGTATTGAAAGGACTGAAGGGAGGGCGGTGTGATTCTCAAAGCCGTCACGGGGTGGTGGGTAGACATGGAGTCGAGGGTGAATAGGATGAGACTGGAGAGAGATCAGGAGCCAGATAATGCAGGCGGCTTGGTGGTCATGGTAAGAATTTTATTTGAGTGAATTTGAAGCACAAAGTGAAACTTCGAAAGAGCTGTAAAAGCTGAGTGACATGATGACAGTCATGTCTTCCAAAATAGACTAATTTGAGTGTGTACAGTAAACTGTTAAGAAAGTGTAAAAACGTGGAGAATTATAGTTTTCCAAATGAGAACTTTATAGTTGTCATAATGAGGGAACAAAAGGACTGGACTAGGGTGGTGGTAATGCAAATGAGGTAAGTAGACAAACTGGAGTCACATTTTGGGGGGTGAACTGATGGAACTTGCCAGTGGATTAGTTAGGGGCTTTGGGGAAAGAGAGGTAGCAAGAGGGACTAAAAGATGCCAGAGTTGAGTGATTAGGAAATTGGAGATGCCATTTGTGAGAGTTTACTAATAACAAAACATGCACTGAAGTGGGTTTATTTCCTGCCAGGGGTGTAACTGAGCAAGTTGCTTAACAACTATGTGCTTCAGATTTCTCATCAGAATTTAAGAAAATGATTGTACCTGCCTCGGAAGTTCTTGTGCCAGACTACTAAATTGTTTGCCCAGCATCTATGCTGAGTACTTTATGTAGTCTTAGTAATTATCATACTTAACATTTGGGAAAGAAAGGACTTTATTCAACCAGTAATCAGTTGATTCACTTCAGGTCACTGGAAAATATTGACTGGAATCTTTTTTCTTTTGTGAGGAAGCTTCTCCCTGATCTAACATCTGTTACCAATCCTCCTTCTTTTTTTTTTTTTTTTTTTTTGCTTGAGGAAGATTAGCCCTGAGCTAACATTTGTGCCCATCTTCCCCTACTTTGTATGTGTGATGCCTCCACACGCTATCATGGCTGAGTGGAGCAGGTCTGTACTCAGGATCCAACGCTGTGAATCCTGGGGCGCCAAAGCAGAGTGAGTGAAACTTTCAACCACTCAGTCATGGGGCCGGCCCCCTGGAAGCTTCTTTTTTACAAGAATGCATTTCCATATTTTGGATGCAGAAAATGTAACAGTGTAATAACAGGATATCCTAGTGCATTTGAAAAGTACATAATTTATATTCTCTTTGCAATTTTTCCAGCAGTAATTAGTCTAACAAATTTCAAGATTATTGCAAGAAAAAGTGTTATTTTGTGAAGAGGTAAGGGGTAAGAGACTGAGTTTTAGATGGGGAACACTTTACAAATATTTATTGTTGTCTTTATGTGATTTTCATTTGTAAAATCTTCTGACTTTTTAGATCCATTCAGTCATTATGATATCATATCATTAAATAGAAAATATTAACTACGTTTTCATTTTGTTTCTTAGCCTAGAGTGATTATAGGCTTTAAATTAAAATATTGGAAGCAAAGTAGCATCATTCTTTTCTGTAAATAAGTTTTTGCTTGCATATTTACTGAGTTTAATGTGCCTTTTTAAAAAAATATGATCTTGAGCTCAGGAATCCTATTTGTAGTTATGGATCATTATTAGACAAGCTTGAGCATAGGTAAATACAAACAAGTAAGGTGTAGACATTCATTAAAAAGGGGACTACAATTTGGAATTCTTCTCACCTTTGTAAAGTAGTTCTGAACTGCAGATGTTGTGATTCTCAAAATAGATTTGTTGCCTATCTCTTTCCATTTTTATTTGGCTAGAAGGTTGATTGATACCAGCCTTTTTCAGGTTTAGCCATTAAAACTTTGAGAACATAACCAATGGTAAAGATTATAAGTTGAGTGACCCTACTAGAGTCTAGATGTAGTAATTAATTTACACTAAATTCATTCCTACTGTGTTCTCTCCTCGTCAGTTGCTGTTCCTACATTTTTCTAGTGTTATGTTGAACCATGCTGCCATTAACCTGAGATATAGCTGAGGACAAGTGCAATATTTGATTTAAAGCATTACTCACTCATATTTCTGCTGAGCGTGTGCATGTGTATATATATAATATTATATTATATATGTTTTACTCTACTTCCATACTATATTTTACTAGAGTGTCATATAAATATATGTAAGTTCACTTATGTCTGAAAACCATCATACTTATTTTCAAACAAGAGTAGAATTCCGAAAATAGGTGAATATATTTAACTGTTTTTATTCAATTCAATAGGGAAATAGTATATACAATTTTGGGTGGGACTACTATTTATTCTTTTTAAAAGAAATGAAAAAAATTAAGAAGAAATTAAACATTGAGAATGAGGGTAGAACTACTAAGAAACTTCTGAAATATAAGTAAATTTAATTATTATAGTCTTGTAGTTTAAACACTTCAATATTATATCACTGAACACAATTATATGCATATTATTATGTATGTTCATAGTTTTTGAATTGTGCTATAAAAATACATGACATCTATTGAAGTAATATTGGATATTTTTAATATTTATATCTGTATAATTATTGCTTGTTGTATTCCTTGCTGTGTGTATTAATAGTGCATAGTTATTTGTTGTCTGTGTGTGTGTGAGGAAGATTGGCCCTGAGCTAACATCTGTTGCCAATCTTCCTCTTTTTGCTTGAGGAAGACTGTTGCTGAGCTAACATCCCTGCCAATCTGCGTCTATTTTATGTGGGATGCCACCACAGTGTGGCTTGACAAGTGGTGCTAGGTCCAGACGTGGGATCTGAAACTGTGAACCCTGGGCCAGCGAAGCAGAGTGCACAAACTTAACCACTGCACCAGCAGGCTGGCCCCCTTAGTTATTTTTTAAACCTGTGTAACACAAGAAGTGATGATGGGATCCAAAATAAGGATTTCTAGTTTCTGGCTGCCTTGACCCTCTAATAGTTAATGTGACAAATACACCATAAATGTAATTTATTCATCTTTAGAGAGTGTTGGCCTATGACAGTGCCTATTCTTTTTTCTTTTAATCCAATTAGCTTTTACACTGCTATGTGTGCTAACACCTCTAATGAGGACTCATAGCCTCTGGAATTTACTTGTTCCATGAATAAATTGTTAAAATATAGACCAAAGTTGGACACAGAAAAAAATCTATGAAAATATTTTTGCAACTCAAAATATCATTTCAAGAATGCAAATGTGTGTGTGTAGAGTTAGAGAAACATACATTATTCAACTTAATACAACATTTCAAATTCTGATGTTATCGTCAGTATTATTATATCAGTGAGAACTTTCTATTCTTATACCTCATGTACCAAGACATTTTATGTATTTTCTCATCTTTTTTCTGAATTAATTCTCCCAGCAAACCTAAGTTTTTCCTGAGGATGAAACTATTTAGGGAGGTTAAAAACAAACATTTAAGTAACACAGCCAGGATGAGGCTACAGTCTTAACTAAAATGATATATACCTATAGATACATTTAAGAGAAAATGTAATGTTAAACAATAACTTTCTTTTCAGGCCATGTCAACTGTAGTAGATGCATTAAAAAATTGATTTGTTGAGCATTTATTCTAGGGCAGACTTGGTAAAAGGAACTTGTAGTGAGAAAGTGCAAATAACTATACTGCAGTGTACTAGTTCTAAGGTAGGACTAGTTTTCAGAAGCATGTGCTGCGGGACTGCATAGAATCCATTATTTTGGGAGCGGGGCCTCCAGAAAGAAGTGCTATCAAATACAAAACCTGCAGAAGAAGCAGAAGCAAGCCAGCCGAAAGAAAGGGGATATTCTGTGTATTTAGAATAAGAGATGATATGTCACAAAATTAAAAAGAGGACTTTCTACTTACATTCAAAGTTGTTCTGGATCACCAGAGGGGTAGGGGAGTGATAGAAAGAGAAAAGTCTAAATTTCCATCTAGATTGTTACTTCAGCAACTGGGTGGAGGGTGTTGCTTTTCTGAGAGAGTGTTCACAGGAGGAAGATATGGAAGCAGATCATTAGTTTTATTTTGAATATGTTGCTATAAAGTTCTGTGGGGGGTATGCAGTGGAGATGTTCATTTGACAGTTGGCTATACTGAGAATTTGCACCACAGGAGAGAAATACAAGTTGCAAATTAAACTAAAAATAAAATATTGGTATGAATATAAGATTATAATTATTTCTTCACTTTGTGCCAGAATTTACTTTAAAATGCATTATTTAGCTTTAGCATGATACACATGCATACACACACTGAAATGCATAAATGTAGCTTTCATTATTTGGTTATGCTTTTTCTCAAGATAATTTTTTTTCATTAGGTTATGAAGGTGAGAATCTGATGAAAATCCTAAAAGACATTGAAAACAGCACAGAAATCATGTTGGACAGGTGGAAGTTTGAAGTCATACCTAATGACAAAGATGAGAAGGGAGACCCAGTGCCTTACAGTATCATCAATAACTACTTTTCCATTGGCGTGGTAAGATTTTCCACTACCTGTTCTTTTGCACCAGTCCTGCATAATCACTGCATGTAAACTCTCACACTAAGACGATTGACTGATTGTAAATAATTTATTTTATCTTCGTGTCAGCAAAACACCTCTTGTAATGGGCAATAATACAGCTTATGAGTTTATTTAAAGTCAGAGAATCAGCAATAGATGAATTTTTCATGTGTTAAACAAAGGAAAGAAAGTATATGTTTTGTAATCGGCTTGATTGTGTTATTATAAGGAAGGATAGAATGGTTTATGTTAAGATAGTTATAAGTTTTAGAGTACATACTAAAGCTCCACATTAGTGAAAATGTGAAAACAATGATATTTTGAGATCTATATTATAATATCGTTATAACCTGCCAGGTGGTTTTTACATACAGATATTCTTTTTAAATTTTGGTTAAGTCTGAAGTCTAAGAAAAAATGTTGCTACTATTCTCAAGTGGTTAATAAGTCCAAAGACTAACATTTCACTTGATTTCTTGAAAAATCTTGGACTGAAAGTAAAATATCATTTGGCAATTGAAAGAGCTGTTGAAATTTTAATCCTTAAGGGATTAATAATTTTTAACAGTGATTATATGTGTATGTATATATATATAACCCAGTAATTATGAAGTCTAAAAATATATTATCTACAAAATTACATTCCTTTTCACATGTCAATCAATATTATCTAATGCCATGTCACATTCTCTCTCATGCACACACACACGCATACACATCCCACTACTAGACTATAAAAAGCATTAGTTGAGTCCACGAACTTAGGAGTAGAGCTGCCTAGGTAAGAATACGTTGGCAAATTTTTTATTCTGTGTCCATTCATTTATCTATTTCATGATGGTTATTATTTTCTCTCTCATAGTTATAATTAATGTGATTATACATTTAAACTTCCTCAATAATGGTCCATATTGAAGGCTAAATATACAATTGTTATTAAAGCTATGATGATGATGATGATGATTTGCAAGGAAAATGCAATACACCTTGATCCATAAAAGTCCTCTTATTTATATTTGATATTAATATAAATAATAATATTTTAACAGCATTATTGGCATATAACTTACATACAACCAAATTCACTCATTTTAAGTGAATCTTGTAATGATTTTAATAAATCTATCCGATTTTAGAGCATAAAATAAGAACCCTCATGCCCATTTGTAGTCAATTCTGGCTTCTCCCAGCTCCAAGCAACAACTAATCTTTCCGCCTCTAAGATTTGCCTTTTATGGATATTTCATGTGAAAGAAATCATACAGTATATAGCCTTTTGCATCTGGCTTCTTTCACCTCACATGTGAACTGCATGAACCCATGTGAACTTCATGAATACTATATTCTTTTTTACTGCTGAGCAGTATCGCATTGTATAGATATATCACACATTGTTTATCTGTTCACCAGTTGATGGACATGTAGAGAATTTCCAGCCTTTGATATTATGAATAACGCCACTCTCTTGTGTCCTTTTAGTGAATTTTTTGTTTCATTTACCATAATTTTTAACTCCAGAACTTCCATTTGGTTCTCTTTTTATAATTTCTATATCTTTAATTAGTATTTTGTATTTGAGGAGACATTGTTGTTAAGCTTTCCTTTATTCTTTAAATATGGTTTTCTTATCTTTTTGATATGTTTATCACAGCTGTTTTGAAGTCTTTGTCTGCTAAGTCCAATATCTGGAGACCATTAGAGAGTTTGATAGCACTTGGGCCCCATAAAAGACATTGTTTTTTCCAAATACGTGTCACACTTTCCTATTCCTCTGCATGTCTAATAATTTTTGTTGAAAACTAGACATTTTATGTAATATTTTATAACACTCTGAATTTTGATTTTCCCACAGTGGTTGTGATTGTTCCTGTGTTTGTCTAGTGATGAGGCTGCACTAATTATGTGAAGCCTTTCTCCTCTGTGGTGCAAGGATACTGATGCTCCAGTTTGTCTCTTTTTTTTAGTTTTTGTTTTAATTTTAATCCTAGCTTCCTAGGGATCACCTCTGTGTCAGCACAATTGATCAGAGTTTGTGCTCAAATACCCTGAGCCAGTAAGTCTTCATCCACTTGCCATTAGATATGTGTGTTCATTGGGGAGCACATACGAACATCAGGCAATTCTTAATCTGATTCAGCTTTAATATCTGCTAGCCCTTATTTTGTCTCTTCTCTTTATGTACATGGCTCCTCAAGGATATGAAGATAGCAAGGACCCTCTTTGGTCTTTCTTGAACGTGTTTGTAGTCTTACACATGCATATGGCCTTTCAGACAGCCAAGGATATGGGGAAATTTATCAAGGCTCATTACGGCTGTCTGATTCCCAAGATCTCCTGTTGAATTTCTGGCTAGTTAGCTGCTTAGTTGCTTGACCTAATCAGTTTGCAAACTCAGATGAGCTGTGACATTGGCCTTCCTTGTCCATTTGCCATGTAGATCGCTATTGTTTTAGGTAACTCTCCAGGCCATGGAGTTTTTCTGGCTTCCACTCCAAATTAGGTCACTTCCACTGACAGTAAAGTTGTTGGCTTTCATAGCTTGCCCCATCCTGGTAGAACTGTAGCACTGATGGGGCTGGACGGTAAGGGAGCGGCCCAAGACTGAAACATCACAGATTACCACTATTCCTATCTGGGGTTCAGTAGTTTTCCTTGAACAAACACTTCACAATTCATATATGCCTTCGGTAAATTTCCAGTGGTCCTCACAGAGGATAATGCCTCCCCACCACAGGAGACATCTGGCAATGTTTGAATACACATTTGACTGTCATGACTGGGAGGGTATTGCTACTGGCAGCTCGTGGGTAGAGGCTAGGGATGCTGCTAAACACCTCACTGCATAGAACAACCTCCCAAACATGCAAGAAAGAATTAGACAGCTCAGAATATCAATAGTTTTGAGGCTGAAAAACCGTGACATCAAGAAACAGAAATACTAAATACAAAACTCAAGATGTTGGAAAAGGAGAAAGAGCAAAAACCCAAAGAAATGAGGAGGAAAGTTATAATAGAAATAAAACAGGAAATACAGCAGAGAATAACAACAATAAAAAAATAGAGACTCTTATTGAAACCAAAAATTGGATTATTGAAGAGTTAATCAGGTCTATTACAAAATTGATTTTACAAAAATATTGTAAAGAGAATTGTAAATAACAATATAGAGTGAATAAGATGAAAAAAAAACCCATATACACAAAAAGTAATATCTCAACTGAAATTATATTGGGACAAAATACAAAGCATAGCAAAGTTGCCAAATATAAATTCAACTTAAATATTCAATAGAATTCCATTATATCAGCAATAACCAAGGAATTTACAAAAACAGCCAAAAAGTTAAAAATATCTAGGAATTAATAAAGAATATACAAGGCCTACATATAGAAAATGTTAAAACTCTCTATAGATACATAAGAAATCAGAATAAATGGAGACATTTCCATCCTTAGATGAAATAGCTTAATATAATATGCAAATTAATTTATACATTTAATCTATAACTAATCAATATTAGAGCTGGATTTTATGACAAACTTGGAAAACTTATTCCAAAATATATATGACAAAGTAGTTAAATCAATTTTAATAAAAAGAAAAGGAGGAGAGTGTTTTACCAAATTAAACATGTTACCAATGGATTGGATAATTATAATAGAAAGATGCTATGAAAAAATACATGAATGAATCAGCAGAGAAGTAGAGAAAGATATTGAAATTCAGCATAGGTGTGACAGAAAAACTCACTGGAGAAATGAGAGATTGCTTAGTTGATAGTGTCAAAAACTAGCTTTCTAGGAGGAGAAAATTTTATTAGAACTCTACCTTACATTTTACTTTTATATTTACATTATATTTTATAAACTGCTAGATTTATTAAACTACTAAATTTGAAATGCAAAGTTTAGGACTTAATAAAAGAATACGTAATAGAATATATTTATGATCTTGAGGTGGAGCAAAACTAACTAAACATGGTGGATTTTGATTGCGTTTTCTTTTGAATGGTCCTGTACCATTTGACTTGGAGCCTCTTTCACTGAATAGAACATGGGAAGTAGGAGTGTGATGGGAGGAGAGCATCCCTTCAGGAAGTATTTGCCTGTCCCTGAGTAAGACAAAAGCTCAACACTCAGGGCCAACATCAGAGCAATAGACCTTACAGGAAGTTCAAGCATTGGCTGCCACTCAGCAAGACCACCTTATACTCACCAACCTGTATTCCTCTGCCCCAATCAATGAATCCAGAAAACAGTGAAATGAAATGAATCATCTATCTCAAGCTATTCCTGGATATATAAGAAGTACTGGAGTTAGAGCATTGAAAGGATGAGGAGGACATTTCAATTTTTTGCTATTACCAGCATGAGAAAGCTTAAGACGGCACATAATTTATACTTGAAATTATCTCTAGGCTCCCTGCTACCACCTAGTTACAAGGTGGTCTCATCTCAAAGTTTGACTCTACTGTCAGTATAGTTTTCATGATTTTAACTATCGCCCTTCATATACTCACTGGAAGTACTTTACACTTTACAGAAAACCTTGCCTCAAACTTTTAGAAAACCTGTGATGGTCGGAAATGTATTGATAAATATCATCCTGTACATTATGATATACCCTTGTATCAGTCAGAGTGTGTTGACTGCTGGTACAAATAACCCAAAATGTCAGTGGTCTGACAACAACTGAAAATTAGTTCTTCCCTCACATGATAGGACAACGTGGGTTGACATTTGGGGAGAGGCCCTGCTCCACTTTGTCAGTCAGTGACCCAGGTTCCTTCCATCTTGTGGTTTCACCCTCCTCTGGATATACAGAGCATTCTCTATTCAACAATTGGGTAACCAAAGAGAGTGGAGTATTGGAATGGATTTTTTTTTTATTATCTGCCAGGCGTGGAAGATGTTCCACTTATAACCCATTGGTCATATCTTCATCACTTGGATCCACCTAATTGTAGGAAACTG